AGAGATCGCTAGGAAACGTTGCCCTCCTTCTGAATGAATGTGCATTAGCTGGCTTCAGACGGCTGCCAAATGCCCCAAAATGAAAATATTGTAATCACAGACCTACCGAGGAGTAACACAGGCATGTGTCCTTGATATAGTTTAATGGTGGCAACAACTGAATTATGTTGTCAGCTATGTCCGTGATTTCTTTTTCTGAAAGAAAAATATACTCCAGACTCATAAAACTAATTTGGATCTTCAGATCTCTACAGGCTTTTCCTTCTGAAAGTGAGATAAATGTATGGAACATTCCATAAGTACCCAGTCTGCAGAAATAAGCCCGATCTGTAGAAATATCCGTGCTACTGTTCTGGGGAAACGATGCTGTGCCAGCCATCTGCTATGCCAGAGTGTAAGCAAGGAAGGGACAAGAAGTGGATCAGCCATTATTTAAACAAGAAATAAACATACCCCTTCAGCGGTAAGGTACTGCAGGAAGAGGTGGACTCTGGGTATTTGTGTTCATCCTTTAGATAGCACTGCAATACAGATAACAATGATGGTAAAAAGCAGTAGAAATCCTTCCCTCCAATGCACACATTTGGGATGGGGGGCACAACTATCCATATTAATGAGAATCGTTTTCCACAGAGGTCAGCACATTGTGGAAAAAGACTATATTTGTGCCCATTGTATATGCCATAGCATGTATTCTCAACTTACAGAAAGGCAGGTCCAAGCTTTTATAACATCTATCCTAAAACAACACTGAAATTCAGGGGAAGGTGCTTTGTTATAGTCGGCTACATTGGAGGCTACCTGCTCCAGTATTCATTGTAGTGGCAATTGGCCTGAAGAAAGGATTTTGGCAGTGTCTCCAGGTAAATAACTATGATGTATGGACGCGAGCTCTTGCCGTGAATTGCAGGCCTGCCCCTGCGACTCGTGGACAGCGAGAGCAGGTGCTGACGTCGTGTTAGAGCCTGTTGCAATGGCAGCTGGGGAACGGTCTGCCACAAATGCAGATGCAGATCTATAAATTACTGTTTGAATCGCAATTTCATATTGTACTAGCAGTGATATCCCCATAAAATATGAGCTACAACTAATAGTAAATCAAATTTCCTTTCCTTGTATTTAGTAGGAAATTATTTTTAGTAACTTTCTTTAAGATTCTTCCAACTGAATTTCCAGTTTTCTAGCAATTCTGTATTCTGACTGGGAACATAGATGTTATGTGCAATTAGAGAGCCTAGAAAGAGCAATGCAGGCTTGGGGAAAATAGCTTGGCATTAGGAGGAAGAGAGAGGAATGGGGAGGAACAGAAAACGAGGAATTTACTGCAAATTCCCTTCAAAAGAAATGATTGCCAGTTTGTGCTATTTATTATGGGGCAACAAAGAGTCAGGCTTTAAAAAAAATACCTCCACTGGTGTAAAACATATGACTTGGTGAGCCACAACACATGTGTCTCTTGCTAGAGATGTCTCACAGCCACAATAACTGGAGACTGCACCTGTAGGGTGAATGCCACCATTAGCCATTGCAGGGCCTGGGTGCTCTGGAGACTGCACCTGTAGGGTGAATGCAACCATTAGACATTTGAAAAAGGCTTAGCAACCTGCTCCCTTTTGGTCATGATACTGCCACTACTGCTCAGTAACCATCGCGTCCATTTATTTAACCCAGTAACTGAAGAACCCTACACAACTTTTTTAGTACTAGCACCATTGTAGCACTATTCACTTTTCTGTTTCTTATCCTCTTCCAGAAACAGTAACTCCTCTGGCCATAGCAGAGCCCACTCCAGCAGGTGAGTTCTCCCTACCCAGAGATGAGCACTAAAGATGAGCTTCTGAGATACTCATGGCTTATCTCAGGGTTTTGCTGTTTTGGAACAGTGTCATTACGGGAAGTTACATCTGCATGGTGCAGATCTGTTACAGCCTGAAACAGGAAAGATTATCCTGTCCTCCGAGGTGTATACAGCACCAGGGGAGAGATGAGACAGCAGGGACCAGTCAAGCACAGCTCCCTTGGGATAGTTGGTGAGCAGGCACCGCAAGGCTGCTCCCCATCAGAGAAAATTTGTGCTTCAGCCACTCTCCGCGCAACGCTGTTTTTACCATTTGAGGAGTACCCATGGCAAGGCGATTTCCAAGCCCACCACATGACTCAGCAAATCCCTCTCCCTGCCCAAGACATGTCCCTGCAGCTGGTGGAAAGTTCATCAAGCTCTAACTGGAGCGGGGGCCTCATTGCTCCTTCACGTTCATTTTGCTTTGCTCTGACAGTCTTTGCTTAGCTTCCGCACAACGCCCCAATCTCTGAAGCGTGCCTTTTCCTTTCTCTTGCGACAGGGGCCACGGAGCACACGCCAACGGCAACACCAGGTACTGGAGGAGCGCCCCCGGCAAGGCCGGCTCCGAGGCCGCCGCCTGACCCCGCGCCTCCCTCTCCTTCCCCCAGACATGTCCCTGCGCCTGGCGGACGGCCGCGACGCCTGCTCGGGGCGCCTCGAGCTCTTCCACAACGGCAGCTGGGGCACCGTCTGCGACGACGACTGGGACCTCAGGGACGCCGAGGTGGTGTGCAGGCAGCTGGGCTGCGGGGACGCCATCTCGGCCCACACCAACGCCTTCTTTGGGGAAGCCAAATCCTAGA